TGCACAGCAGGTTCCATCCGGCCTCTGGGCTCACTGGGGCTCCGCCTTCTCAGGACGACCCCCCACGCCCCCACCCCAGGCCTGCAAGCCCGCAGTGCCTCCCGTAGTTCCTGTCACTGCCTGCGTGCGGTCTGTGGCCCGACTGGACTGTGTGTCCAGGGAGGGAGAGTGACCCGTCCCCAGCTCCGAGGAACTGTCCAGGGAGATGTGGAGGCGCGGGCCAGGCCGCCAGGCTGCTCTGGGACAGCCACACGAGTTCTCCACGGCCCAGGGCCGCGCCCCTGGTCACGCCAGCCGGGGAGTGCCCGTGTGCATGGGCGTGTCTGGGTTGCTGGCGGGCAGCTGGGCGTGGTGCCTGCTGTGGCGGGGCCTGGGCGGGGAGTCGCTCCTCTCTCAAAAGGGCTCGGCCTTCCGAGGGAAGGAAATGCTGTCCGCGGCTGCACCATCAGCCTGCAGCACGCGGCGTTCAGGGCGAGGAAGGCGTGGCAAAAGACAAACCCTGTTGAACCCCACTTCTGAGGGGTGCGGTCCAACGCAAGGCAGAAGGCGGGCCGGGGCAGAGCAAAGGGCACGGGAGGTGAGAAGCTGCTGCGGGGTGGGGGTGTGCCCACAACTTACTGTGACGGGACCGTGGGCTGAGAAGGCGGGGTGGGGGGCACCTTATTTTTGTCTGTTTTATCCCAATTCGAAAACGCTGCCTGAGGCTCTGAGCTGGATTCTGCACTGGCCTGGGCTCTTGGAGGGCGGGGAGGTCCTGCTGGTGGCGGGAGGGCAAGCGAGTGGCACAGATGGCGGGGAGGGCAGCAGGGCTGGGGCCGGGGCACAGATGTCGCCCACGGCAGGTGACCTGTCACTCCCCTGCTCCCCAGCCTCCGTGATCTCCTGCGCTTCTCATGCCCGCCAGCCGGAGGGAAGGGGCCTGGAACCTTCTTTAGAGGAGCAGCTTAAAGCAGGAGAGGACGAGTGATTTGCTCAAGGACGAACACGCCAGGGCTGGAGGAGGGCTGGGCCCACCTCCACCCCGAGGCTCAGCACGGGGGCGCAGGGCCCCGTGACGGTCCAGGAGCGGATGCCTAGGTGGAGTGCAGGGGCGCCTGGGGTGAGAGGAAGCAGTGAGGTGTGGGCTGCTCAGTCTCTTGGCTTCCAACCTCTCCTGGGGCAGCCGGCGCTGGGGTCGCGGCCAGACGCCCACAGCGGCAGAGGGGGGCCAGGTGGACTTCTGCCAGCCTCACCCCCACCGGCCCCTTGAGCCCAGAGGCTGCAAAATGCACCAGGCTGGTGGGGACCAAGGTGCTGGGAGCCGTGGGCAGCGTGAGTGGTGCAAAGGGCACAGTGTGGAGCTCGGAACTGGCCAGCCGCTGGCCAACCCCTCGCCCTTGGCTACACTGTCGCCTCTCTGCGCCTCAGCACCCCTCTGAGCAGCCACCCCTCTGCTCTGGAGCGAGGCATCAAGTGACACGCTCCAGGCAGGCGCCGTGCGGCGGCCAGCGGGGCGGCCAGGGGCTCACCGACTCAAAGGCCATGGAGATCCACTGCACGCGGCCCTCCTTGACCCCCACTGCCCCGTGGGACAGCTGCCCCGGGAGCAGGTTGGGCTCGGGCAGCTCCTTGCATTCGGGGTGTAACATCTGCAGGAAGGAGGAGATGCTGTAGCCTGTGGGGGCAGGGAGAGAGCGGGTGAGGGCGGAGGGGAAGGGCAGCCCGCTGCCCAGTGCCCCTGGGGCACGCCGGGAGCACACACGCCCTCCCCAGCCTCCCCGGGTCCAAGTGTCTACCCCGAGGACACCAGAGAAACCTACAGCGTGCGCTTGCCACGGGCGACGGCACCCCGTGCCCTTTCAGGGGGGCCCTGGCAGGACCTCGCCTGGCTATCTGCTGTCCCCCAGCTCCCGATTTGGGAGAAGCCACGCTTGCAGGCGTGCCCCCCCCCACTGTACACGTCTCACACACACACACACACACTCCCTGCCCACCGCTAACTCCCCTCAGCTGGAAGCTGGAAGACAGCAGACTACCCCCCTTGCGTCCCTCGTGGACACAGGTGCCGCCAGGCACGCGCGGCCAGGGAGCCCCCCCATGCACCTGAGGGCAGGCACTGGGCCCCGCCCGGCTTCACCAGCTCCGAGTTCCCCGCGATGGCCTTGCACAGGCGACACAGGTGCCCAATCTCTTTGAAGAGGTCAAAAGTGCCGTCGTAGATGACGCTGCCCTTTCCCAAGGAGACACAAGGTGTGCAGGCCGCTCAGTGAGTGGAGGCGCAGTCAGGCCCCCGCTCCGGAAGAATCTGGCAACGCCCCCCCCATCACCTGCTCTGCTGGGCTTCCTGCTTCCTCCGCTCCCAGCGTGCGGCCAAATCCGACCCGCCTGTCACCTCTGTGCCGCCCACCACCCTCTGCACACCCACAGCCGCACAGCCCGGCTGGGCCGGCAGCCCCGCGCGACTCTGCTGCTGCAGAAATACTTCCTGTCTGAACCCACTTCACCCGCCGGGCCCTTCTCGGGTCACTACACGGCCACACTCCTACTACCCGCTCAGTGCCACATGTGCCAGGCAGCGCCAGTCCCGACCCCACCAGCTCCTCCCGCTCCAGACACTCGGAGCCCAGCAGGGGGCCCGAGCAAGGGAGGGCAGACCCGAGGGGCCGCGGGGTGCAGGCCGTCCCGGGGGCTTCAGACTGGTACTTTTCTGGTCCTCCTTCTAGCCCATAATGTTGAGGGGCAGCCAGCTCGGGCCCCCAAATGTCCCCAAGTGGGTACAAGCCCAAGCCCAGTCTTCATGAGCACGGGGTCCCCGCCCGGGGGGTGGTGTCTGGGCTGGGCGAGCCGCCAAAGGCCAAGAGGTGCGTGGGGAGCTGGTGGCACCCTTGGCTGGCTGGTCTGCGAGTCTAGAGTGGGTGGGCGCCTGCCCAGAGGGGCCCACATACCGGGTCTCCGATGACATGGTTGTCCACTTGCCGTGTGCGGTTGATGCCAATGATGCCAAAGACCACAAAGACCATGGCCCCCGTGTCCACCAGGGGCCGGACCGCCGGCTTCCCACAGCCTGTGTTCACGCAGGGGTTGAAGCCAAAGGTGGCTGAGAGTCGGGGCTTGGGCACTGCAGAAGGAGTCACAGTGTCAGCGGTGGGGGGCTCAGGCCCCCCAAGGCCCCACTGCAGTCCCCCGTATTACCTTTCTCGCTGGGCACGTAGAAGAAGCCTTTGGTTGGGCCGTCAGGGCTGGAGCTGAGCAGGCAGCCAGGTGGTGCCACGCACACGCGCCCGTGGAAGGGGGGCTTGTGGGACTGGGCGAAGTACAGCTTCCTGTGAGGGCAAGGAGGCCAGGCTGAGATCTGGAGGCCAGGGGAGGCCAGGGAGCCCCGCGCAGGCGGTGGGCGCCCGGTCTCGGGTGACGGCCGGTCCGGTCCTCAGCTTCAGGCCCTGGATCGGGCTCGGTATCTCTGTCTCCACCCATCTCCCTGCCAAGGCTGTGTGGGAGCAAGGAGGAGCCCCGCAGTCTTAAAACTGTCCTCCAGGACAGTTCACAGAGAGGCCCTCTGGGGGCCCTGGTCAGAGGTCGCCGGCCCACCTGAACACCTTCGGAGAAAGGGCTTCTAGCCTATGTGCACTAGACCTGATGTAACTCTTTCTAGAATGTCTTAGCAGCTGCCCAGGCCGCTGTTGTGTATGTGCAGAGAGCCCAGCCCTAGGCGCAGGGGACTGCAAGCAGGGGGACCCCTGCAGGCTGGAGGGGCCTGTCTGGTGCCCCCCGCCAAGCAGCACCCCTCTTCTCAAGTGGAATCAGCACGGCATGGGTAGAGTCCACTGTCCCTCAGGGCCCCCCACTGCCTTTTTCCGGACTCCAAGCTGCTGGGTCCTGCCGAGCGGGAGTCGGAATTGGCAGAACCACTGTGGCTGACTTGTTAGCTGCCGGGCTCCGCGAGACGCCCAAGGGCGGGAGCCACCTCTGTCTTGTCGATTACTGTGTCCCCAGGACCGGCATGGGGCCAGCACAGAGACGACGCTCCGTGTTCACAAAATGAATAAACAGGGAGACGGATGGGGTATGGGCCAGGGGTTCGGTGGAGGGGGAAATAAATCACAGAACTGTGCAGTAAAAATAAAAGTGGGCGCTCCCTGGTGGCGAACGGGTCAGGGCGCAGCACTGCAAGCTGGCCATGGCCGCTTCAGTGTGAGTTCAATCCCTGGCCCCGGAGGTGATCCCATGGTGCAGCAGATCTTTCCTGTCTCCCCACTGCCCCCCCAGCAGTGTACTTCATCAATCTGCCCTCTCTGCTCCCCACCCTGTCTCTGGGGAGTCCTCTTACTGCCCCTGCGCCTCTGGCCTGCACCCCAGTTCTGTAGTCAATAAATAAATCTTAAAAAAAAAAAAAGACTTGTCTGAACAGAGAAGTGGAAGTGAATGTTCCTTAAGGAGGCGGACGTCACCTGCCACGTGAGTGCGTGTGACTGTCTGCGTGAGTGCGCGTGAGGGCGCCGGGGGGCGGCAGGCGTCGGAAGGGGACACGCGGCGGGGTCACCCGCCAGCTCGGTACCGGGTGTGCTGCTGCTCCCTGGCGGCCACGTAGAAGCTGAAGTCGAGCTTCCAGCCCCGCCTGGCGTCGCAGGCCAAGGTCGTCACCATCCACTTGCGGGAGGGGCGCGCCGCCTGGAGCAGCCCTACTGTAGACATACAAGCGGTCAGCTTCTTGGTGAAGTTACCAAAAGGCGCTCTATACACCTAAGCAGTGGGTCGACAGAGACAAGACACGTGACTCCGGGAGGCTGCTTCGGCCTGGCCTCGCCTGCCCCACCCTGTCCCAGCCCCCAGGGCGGGGGAGCCCTGGGCAGAGGCTCAGGAGGCCTGGGTTCGAGTTCGGGAGGTGGGCGAGACCTTCCCTCTCTGCCTGAGCCTCAGTCCTCCCTGCATCTGGGCGGGCACGGTGCCCACGGCTCTGGCTCTAGGGCTGTGAGACAAGCAGGAGGCCAGGCCAGGAGTGACCGGCAGCTGGCAGGAGGCCCATTTGGAGACCTGCTGAGGAGGGAGCAGGCCCGGGGCGGGGCGGGCAGGCAGCGTGTCGGACATCTGACCATTAGCACGGAAGTCTAAATCCTGACCCATAAAACTGTCACCTTTGTCACCTGTTATACAGCACAAATGACTCCCAGCAAAGCTGGTCACCCCAGGAGGCTCTTTTCTGGGGTGCTGGAGCAGCGGCCTACAGTTAACAAGGCAGCTCCCTGAATGATGGCATTTTTTGATGATGTCGATGAGAAGAAAATAGTCCCGGCCCAAGTGGAACGACAGGGCGCTTTGAGGACGCTGCTTCTGCCAGGCGTCGGTCTGCCGAGCCACGGTCCCACACGCAGGCGGACACCGAGGCCACGCTGTCCCCCAGCGGCGGCCGAGGACAGGCTCTCGCTACGTCCTGGACGTTCCCCGCAGGCCTCACCTTGTGTACTGAACCCATTGAGCGGGACTTTTCAACTCCCCTTTTCACAGATGGGGAAACTGAGGCTCAGAGAGATGAAGTCACCAGCCCAAACACACACAGGTGGTAAAGGCAGACCGGACTCGAACCCAGGTCTGGCTGGCAGAAGCCCGTCTCTCACCGTGCGCAGGCCCCGCCACAGGCCCGCTGTGGGCCGGGGGGTCCTCTCCTGCCCAAGGCAGCTCCAGCCTCCTGGGCCCCGCCCCCCTCTGAGGCCACTGGGGCGTCCCTGAAGGCCCCCCTGGGACTCACCTGGAAGGAGGGCAGGTCCCCGTCCCCTGGAGACACCATCTGCCAAGGGGCGGGCAGGCTGGCGTTGAGCGAGAGCCTGTAGACAGCCGGGTGGCCTTTGCTCTTCGCCTTGGAGACGTACACGGTGCCCAGGCCATCTAGAGGACAAAGTTGGTGGAGTGGGCTGGGCCCCACTGCCCCTACAGCAGACCCCGCTGCCCTGCGGCGGGCGGCCGAGGCCTGACTCGGGCTCACTTCTGGGCGTGACTCTGCCCATTCCTCCCGACGGGCCCGTGGCACTGGCGGAGGGCAGTGGGTGCTGGCAGGTCCGGGGGCGGCTGGTGGGTGGAGGGGCCCGTGGCACTGCGGGGGCCTGTCGGCTCTGGTGTGTGGCGGGAGTGACAGCGGTGGTGGACCGTGTCCACATGAGGGGCAGTGGCGGCGATGCCAGTGACGGGGAGCACTGTGCGAGTGGGGGTGCTGGCGGTGACAATGATGGGCACGGGGACACCTGGTCTGGGGTGACAAGGACACACGGAGCCACCTTCGGGGTGGCGGGGAGGGGCTGCGCAGTGTCCCTGCGCCTCACCTCTGATGCGGGGGCCAGCCAGGACGCCCGGCCCTCCTGCACACGCAAGCTGGACTGGGGGCCAGGGTGGATTCTGGGGCACCGCAGGCAGGGAGGGTCCTGCGGTTCTGACGAGGGAGTGGGAGCACCCTGTTCGCCGCCCACCTTCAAGCCCTCCCGTCCCGTGACCCGGGAACACAGCCTGTAGCTCACACACAAGGATTGCTCTCCCTTCAGGGCACCAAGCCCCGGTCACCTGATCCCCACCCTGGCCAGCCCGCAGTGCCACTGACCCTGCAGGATGGCCTCAGGCCGGCCGGCCCAGGAGACCCCTGAGCCCCGCTTCCTCTTCTCCAGAGACGTCCGGATGTTGCTCTGCAGGCTGTGGGGCTTCTCCTGGAATAGACCTGCCCCCCCCGAAGGTCAGGCGGGCGGTGGGGACAGCGGCTGAGGCCTGTGACAGCCCCCAGGGACAAGGGCACCCCAGGCCCTCAGCTTGGGGGTGGTGTCAGGGGTCTGAAAGAAGCTAGCTGGAACTGAACAAAATCTCATATCGGCTCACAGGACTCTAGACAAAAGACAGGCCCCAGCTGGAGGAAGACACCCTTCCCTCCCGCCCCCACTCCGACTCCTCGGCGGGCCGGCTGCCCCTCCGTCACGCGGCTGGCGGGACCCGGCGTGCTGGCTGTGGGACTGACCGGGCCGGCTCCGCCGCGTGCCGGGTCCACGTGAAGCTCAATGAACGGCAGTGACCGGACACGGGCCAGAGGACTCCCCTTCGCCCCACGCATGGTGGCTTAGCCTCTGGTTTTGTGTTTTCTTCAAGGAAAACAACTTTATACCTCGAAAATTTCACCCTCGAACACTCCTAGGAGATCGTTATTGCTCACTTGACAGAGACGCACCAGGGGGCGGGGAGGTCGCGCGGCTGAGCGGGAAGCGAGCACCACCCCTCCAGACTCTGGTCTTAGGCCCTAACGCCAAAGTACCCCACGAAATGAAGGGGTTGCTCCAGGCAGTTCAGCGTAAGAGCTGAAAGTGGCTGGGGGCTGGGCATTGACTAGGGTACTGGGTTTTCCCCAGATAGTTCCCAGAAATTGGGGTCCGTCTTGGGTTTGTCTGTGAAATGGGCCCCGAGGGAGGGCGGACGCCTGGGAGCAGCAAAAATAAGGGAACAGAGTTCCGGGGCCCAGCAGGCAGGGGGCGCTGGGGCTGGCTGGGGCTGCCTCTGATTTAGGAGGGCCCCCCCCCCACCTCTCTGAGCTGCAGTCAATTATCATGCGTTTGGCTAATGCCATTACCGAGGGGAAGGCCAGGTTAATGTGAACACTGCCCTGATTAAGTGGAGGCAATTGCAGTAGTCAGCGGATCTCCCCCAGGAGCACCAGACACTCTCAGGCTCTTCTCGTTGGGTTTCTCACTGCCCGGGCAAAGCTGGGTGACCTTGGGTAGACTTCCCCTGCTCCCAGCTCTGACCTCCAGTGACCTTCACCCCTGCCCTTGCAGACTCTCGCTATGGCAAGGACATGTCTATCTGACCATGCTCATTCCACTCGGTCACCAGCTCTTGTCACCAAGTCCTGTGGATGTCACCTAAAAATGACTCCACCCGCATTATGAAGCTCTCTGAAGCTACTGCTGCACGAGTTTTGACCCGGCCAGGGAGTGACCCCAGGGCGCAGCAGACCTCTTGTGACCTGCCTGCTGCTCCCCTCAGCAGTGAATTTCAGTCCATCTGCCTGTTCTGCTCCCCACTCTGTCTTTGGGGAATCCTCTCACCCAGCACACCTCTGGCCTGAACCCCAGTTCTGTAAGCATAAATAAACAAACCTATAAAAAAAAAAGTCTCCAGCCCGTGTCACACTGGCCCTTAGGTCTCTCCTCGTGCAGGCAGTTTCTACCCTGGCCTCTACAGCACCTCTGCAGTCCCCGGGGGCTCACTCAATCCCCACCCCCACTGGCTTCTAGTGCCAGCTGCGATGAACCCAGGTCCCCACTGCAGCCCCCCCACGCCCCCAGCCCTCCTGGCGGACGCGGTCCTGCAACCAACACTGTCAACCCCTGACCACTCCCGGGGCGGCTCTCGCCTAGGCCTCCCCACTGCCATGTCCCTTCTCATTTTCAGTCTCAGCCCAGACAATGCCCGCCGGGTAGCCTCCACGACCCCGAGCTCCCCGGGCGCCCCGCCACCCCGTCACAGCTCAGATCTAGTACAGCGGGCTGCTCCTGCCATGACCATGGGTCCCCAGCTCAGGAAGCCTGTCCTTCCTGCCTGCTCAGGTCTCAGCGTAGCACGCTGGCACTCGCTGGTACTTGCTGGGTGATTTGCTGAGGTACTGCAGTGATGGGGAGAACGGGTCTGGCCTCCCTCAGGCCAACTGTCTTGAGACCTGGGATCCAAAGACGGTAGGGGACACTGCTGGAAACCCTCACCTGAACAGGTGATGCAGGAGATGCCCTCGGCGCTCAGGTTGTATTTGAGGTCGAGCAGCACCTGGATGTTGGTGTCAGGCCGGAAGAGCAGGGGCGCCCGGCTGGCGGGGCGGAGCCGGCTGGCAAACACCAGGGACAGGATGAGGATGGTGACAAAGAGCCCTGCAGGTAAAGGACACCACATGGCGGGGTGGGGCCGGGCAGCGCCTTCACGGCCGGGGCCTCCTTAGGGCTACTCGCTTTATGTGGGCAGGGGGCCCCCGGGAGGTGGCGGGGGCCCCAAGGGGCAGTGCAGGGGCCCAGTTGCCAGCCAGTGGGCCAGGGCTGCTAGGCACCAGTCCTTCAGGGGTCAGCTTCAAATTCCCACCTCTGGACAAGAACCAGCCGCTGTCCGTCCAGAGACCCGGAGCGCCCACCTGAGAAACGCAATGATGCCGGCGACGGCACTTAGCCACCTGGGCACCCTGTGAGCCCTTTCCTTCGTGACATTCCTGACCACTGCCTTGTGAGAGGCCCGTTCGCACCCTCCATGTGAGGAAACTGAGGCACCGACAGGCCGAGCAGCACAGAATGAGGCAGGACTGGGATCCCTGGTGTCCCTGCTGTCTACCCCAGCTCGATGGCACCCGGTAGGTGCTTGAGAGCAACCGCTTCTGCGGGGCCGCTTCGTTCTCCACAGGAGGCGAGGCTCAGCCTCAGCGTGAGGGAAGCCCGCCCAGACCTCTGCCCTCCGCTTCACCTGCAGAGGCGGGGGCAGGCTCCCGATGGGGGCGTCTGTCCCCCACACTCGGGCACTGGGAAGAAGGAGGCAGAGGAGCGGGAAGGAGGGGGTCCACTCACCCATAATCACCCAGCGGCTCTTGACGGCTGACCACAGGGCCCAGTGGTGCAGCAGCTCCTGCAGCTGAGTGATGAGCTGCCCCCGGCTGCCCCCGGCCGGGGCGGCCTGCAGGCCCTCGGGGGACACAGACAGCAGGGACACATCCCCCAGCTCCAGCGACACTGCGGGGGCGAGAGGTGGCCTGTCAGGGGCCAGGCCCACCCGCAGGAAGCCCGCCCCAGCCCCCTCTGCAGGGCGCCCGGACGCCCCTCCCATGCAGCCCGGCCTCAGCACCAGCCTGGGCGAACGCAGCTGGTGAGGGCCGCTGTCCCCGGCGGAGGCAGCCCGGGGCCGGCTCTCACCTGGCTCCTCCTCCACGTCCAGCAAAGGGATGTCGTCGTCCAGGTAAGGCATGGGGCCCTGGGCAGGGCTGCCCCCCGCCCGCTCGGGACCGGCAAACACGTCCCCGGGGAGGCGCAGGGAGCTCTTGCGGCCACACTTCTGGTGGCAGCTGTGGAGAAAAGGGGAGGTGAGCCCCGGGGGTCCGGGGTGACCAGGGAGGGTCCTCAGGCGTCACGCTGCTGCCCAACTCACACCGGCCTCTGCCACAGATGGCCAGGGGCCTGCTTTCGTGCCAGAGGCATCTCCCAGACGCCCTCGGCGCCACTCTTCCCCTGGGTGACAAACAGTGACAGTATTCCTCACCCAGGTAGAGGGGTGACAGCACAGCCACCCGCCAAGGGGCGACCCGGCAGGGGGATCGTGCTGTGCGCCGTGCAGCCCCCAGGCTCCGAGGAAAGAGGGGGAGCAGGACAGGGCTGAGGGTGTAGCCGAGGCCTCGGCTGAAGTGAATGGGGGCAGTCGAGGCTCGCCCTAGGGCTGGGACGAGGCTGACACAGCAGAGACCGATGAGTGCCGTGGGGCTGGGGGCTGCTAGCTCCCGCGGGTCTCTCAGCTCCGCAGGAACCCCACGTGGCGGCCGCACCCACGAAAGAAGAGGACACGGAGCCCCCAGGAAGGCGCGGGACCTGCCTGCGGTTCCCGTGCTGCCGACTGGGGCCACGGCCTGACTGCGAGGCGTGGCTGGAGGTTTGTTTGGTTTCTTCAATCCCGCATGAGACGGTCACAGAAAGAGTTACAGCGAATGTCTCGGGCAGAGCGTCCTTGCGCAGTGCCCAGCCTGGGCCACGGCACGTGGCGGTCCTGAGGGCGGGCGTGAGCAGAGAGCTGCAGTGTGTACCCTGGCCCAGGTCTGAGCTCCTGCTGACCCGCCTCTGCTCACCCAAGTCAGTCACGGGCCTGACCTTCCTGCCTGCGCGGGCCGGAGAGCCTCGGCCACGCCTCAGTATCCCCACCCCAAACGGCTCCCCAGGCTGGACGCCCCGGCCACTGCTCTTCCCTGCCCGCCTCCCTGGACACTGCCCACAGCCCCAGCCTCTGACCTCCAGCGCAGCTGAGCGCTGACTGTCCATTCTGCACATGGCTCATGGGATCTAAATATTGTTTCTCCACCGAGGTGAGCACCTTGAGCACATTAACCGCAGCTGGACCATGGGGCCAGACCCAGATTTTCTTGGGAGTAAACCTCAGCTCTGCTGTGTACTAAATGGGCGACCTTGAGACAGTTGCCCAATCTCCCCGAGGCTGGTTTCCTCATCTCTCTTTTTTTTAAAAAAAATATTTATTTATGGATACAGCACTAGGGTACAGGCCAGAGGTGCAGGGGCGATGAGAGGATTCAGCAGAGACAGAGTGGGGAGCAGGACAGGCAGATTGATGAAGTCCACTGATGAGGGGCGCAGCGGGGAGATAGGAGAGGTCTGATGCACCCTATGGGTCACTCCCTGGCTGGGGATCGAACCCAGTGCGCCACCAGGGAGGGGTCCAGGTTTCCTCATCTTTAAAGTGGACCAACGAAGAGGACCCAGCTCCCAGGGCCCTTATGGGGGAGTAGCAAGATGGTCCCCCGAAGCACTCTGCCCACTGCCCAGCACAAGCGGTACCTGCCAGGTGAGACTCTCTTCCCCTCTATCCCTGAGCTGTGCCTGGCATAGGACTGAGAAACAGAAGGTGCTTAGCAGAGAGTCCCACGTCTTTTGGAAGAGGGGTGCTGTGCTGAGTACTCCTGATGAGGGCGACGGACATTTGTGAGGGGAGGCCGGCCCCGCCTGCCAGCTCACCTGGCCTGGCAGGTGCTCTCCAGCGGCGCCATGTAAAGGCTCCAGATACCCAGGGCGGCAGGCATGGTGAAGAGCACGGCCAGCCAACAGCACGACACGATGAGGGACATGAACAGGCCGAAGTCGTGGACGGCCGGGATCTGGAGAGGGAGAGGCGGGGTGGGGGCTGGCAAGACCTGCAGCCGGAGCCTGGCGTCTCTGCAGCAAGGCACTCAGGACCCCAGGCCACTGCCAGCCTGACAGGATGCGGCTCAGGTGGCCAGAATGGCAGCCACCAGCCCAGAAGGACTCCAGGGGCAAGGGCCGGAGCCCACAGGCCGGGAAGCACCAGGCGCTGGAGTGGAGGCACTTGTCTAAACTGCAGCCCACTGTCCAGGCAGGGCCTGGCACAGAGCGAGGGCTCCCTGCGCCATCGTACAAATGACAGCGGTCAGGGGAGAGCCTATCACAACAGGCCGTGCGTTGGTAAGGAAGGTGGGAGAGGACACACCTCAACACGGGGCAGGGAGGCTGGGGCTCGGAGCAAGGGGTATGCTCTGGGAGCGCCCCTGGGACCCGCATGGGCATGTGGCATCAGGAGGGGACTGGACCAAGCTGCAGCCAGCTCTTCACGAGTGTTTCTGAAACGCTTTCACAATCATCTCCTCATTGCAGTAACCGAATCATGCAGAGATGTGGGAAATGAGGTTCAGAGAGGTCAAACCACCCAGCTGAGATCACACAGCCAGTAAAGGGTCGGGGGATTTGAAACCCAGCACTGCCTGCTTTCTAGGTGGGGTCTCTAGGAAGACCAGGGTAATCCCAAAGCATCTGGTGGTTTCTAAGTCTCAGGCCTGCTCATTACCTTTCAGGTCAGCAGAAGGACCTGGCCCAGACTCACCCATTCTTCTTCTGAGCCAACTGAGAGGCTGGGAGGGCCTGGGGCCAGCGAAAGGAAGGTCCGTATGAGAGGTGACTGCAGTGCAAAGCCAGGAGGTGGGAAGATGGCCTGGCCATCTCACCACTGACCAGCTGTGTGACCTTGGGGCAGTCACTTAACCTCTCTGGACCTCAGTTTCTGCATTAGGAAAGTGGGGATGATAATTCGATTTTTATCCAAGTATGTCATAAGGAATGAATGTGAAAAAGTCTTGCAAACTGCCAAATGCCCTTCTGGGCAGAGGTTGGATTACTGTTAATGAGCATCAATAATAAATATTGTTTATATGATTATAACATTCCCAGTTAGGTTAGGATCCACTGAGTTCGACTCTATGGACACTACCAGTGCTTAGAGGCAAAGGCTGGTTGGCCACAGGAGAAGGAACGGGCGAGAAGAGCAGAGACTGAGGCCAGGTGTGCGTGGGAGGAGTGGCGCGGGGGGGGGGGGGCACGTCAGCGCTGGGGGAAGGGTGGTCTCCCACCTGGGAGAAGACGTTAGCTGCGTAGGCAGCGGCTGTGGTGAGGGAGGTGAAGAAGGTGGCCTTGCCTGCCGTCTGGATGGTGTGGATCATACGCAGCTGCGGGTCTTCCAGGTGGGTGGCCTGGCGGTAGGTGTTGATGAACACGAAGACGTCGTCCACCCCTGTGAGAAGCAATCGGGGGGCAGCAGAATCAACCTGCTGTCTCCAGGACCAGGCCCAGCCGGGCCCCCTAGGCCAGCCTGAAGGGGCCCCCGAGAGGTCAGGCCCCAGGATAGACCTGTTTCTCAGCCTGGAGTTTGGAACTACACATGCGACCTTGGTCTACCCACCTAGAATCCAAGCTTCACACCACCTCCCATGCGCCTTGCCTCCCCAACCCCGAACTAGGCCCTTCCCTCCAAATCTTAGCCTCCAAATCTTAGCCTCCTATACACCTTTCCCACCTCCACCTAGCCTACCTGCCTGCTCCTCCCACCTGTGGGGACCCACCCACCACCCTACCCTCCACGGTGCCAAGGTCTGAGAGGAGGCACGCTGGAAGCCAGGCTTCGCCTCCTGGGAAAAGATTCACTTAGAGTCTGAGTTCCCAAGTGGGAGAACCGTGACCGGAGCCACAGAGGCAACTCACCAATGCCCACGATGACGAAGGCGGCCACCCCATTGAGGATGCCCAAATACTGGATACCAAAGACCACGTGGTACAGGAAGAGCGCCACCAGGCAGCTGAGGCCGATGCTGGCGATACCGAAGAAGGACAGGAATACTGGGCAAGGCAAGGCAAGATGTGCAGGCGATAAGGTGGTGGTGGTGGTGTGGTGGTGTGTGTGTGGGGTGCCTGACACCCTCTTGCACTCCCCGCTGGGGTGCCCTTCACTCCAGCAATCTCCACGCTCAGAGGAAGAGCCAGGCAGAAGCCCTGATCTTTCCAGAGCTTCCCCCAGTGCTAATCGGGAATAATAAGCATTATATATTTAACATCTGTCACCCCAGTGGAGAGAGACTCCATCGGGGGAGGAGGGACGTCTGTGATATTTGCCCCTGGATCCCTGGCATCGGAGAGCATCTGGTACATAACTGGTGTGTAGTTATATTTGCTACATGAATGAGTCTTTTCCGTGTTTGAGGGCATTACCGATCTTTTGTTCATCTGGGCATTTCAGAGCAGTAGGCAGCAGCTAGGTGCATGGGTGGTGGGAGTGGAAACGTCAACGGGGGGCAAAAGGGAAGCCGACCTGGAACCGTATTGCCAGCCTACAGTAATCCACAGGGAGGGGCCAATGCTCCAGATCCCCTAAGACAAGGTTATCAGCAGAAAGATGGCCGAACACCTGCGGGGGGCGGGGGGGAGGTGCGCTGGGGTGGGAGATGACTTCTGGGCGTCCCGCCCACAACAGTTCTGACATGGTGGGCCCAAGACGACTGACATTCACCAGAGGGGAAGTTGGGCCAGCCGGAGCACACTGAGAGGGAAGAGGGGAAAGAGGGGCCAGGCTTTGGAGAAGCCTACCTGAGCAGGAGGTGAGGATGTAGACAAGCGCGGCGATGCAGCTGCTGCTGATGAAGGCCAGGAGCATGTCATTATTGAAGGTTCTACGCACCTCGTAATCAAAGAGGTCTGTCCCCCCATACAGAACCTGGACTTTGCTGGGGAAGGAAGGCCATGGATGGAGGAAAGAGAAGTGGGTTAGAAATGGCTCTTGGCACCTCTAGGTGGACCAGGAACCATCCACCTCACCAGTGGTGCTTCACGTGGGCTGTCCATTAAACCACCCGCTTCTTCCAAACACCCTGAGGTCCAGCTCATACTCTGAGTCAGAATTTCCATGGTGGGACTGAGTCATCAGTGTGGTTCAAATTTAAGGCCAAGGTTAAGACCTACTCTATACAATGATAGTCAGTTATAGTCAGTTCTGTGCCACCCACTCAATTCTCAATTATTCACAGCAAATTTTTAATTTCTATTCAGCTTCCAGATTTGCAGTTTTACACAGCTATATTGTGGTTAACACAAGTTATTCTTAATTTGAAAAACAAAACCAGGCGGCTCAAATTGAGTTTTAAAATACAAACAGGCGTGGCATCTGCTTCTGGACAGGATGGAGTACCAAGAAGAAATCCCAATTTAGCCACACAGTGATACTAACAAAAAAAAGAGAGAGAGGGAGGGAGAAAAAATAAAACAAGATTCTGGATATAAGATAAGAAAGAATGATGAGTGATAAGAGCTGTGATTACCCTAACTTCTACTGTGAGAGTGTTTCCAGGCATCAAAGTCTAAAATACAGGTTTCTGGACTCCCCAAAGGAGGATAAAAAAATCTTCAAATTTTATAAAGCCATACATAGAATCCACTCATACACTAATCACTGAAGCTTGATCAATGAATTCCAAGCACTTATGAATGAAATTACATAATGCGCATCACAAATTTCTCAAAATAATGACCAAGAGAAAAATCTTATAGGCGGCCTGAGAAAAAAAGAGACATTACGCACACAAGAACAAGATGGAAGACAGCAGACTTCTCATTGGAAAAATCAAGTCAGAGGACAATGGAGGGGCGGCCTTTCCCACGGGGGCGGGGGGGTTCAACCCAGAATTCTATGCCGAGCATAAATATAACTCAGAAACAATGCGAAACGAAGACTTTTTCAAATATACAAAACCTGAAAGTATTGATTTCCAGCACACCTGCACACAGGGCTGGTAAAAGAAGTCCTGTGGGTAGAAGGGGAGTGAGAAGAGAAGGAAATATAGATCAACACAAAGGAATAAACAGAACTGGAAATGGTAACAACATGAGTATGTACAATTTTCTTATTACTTATTTCATTAAGTTTAAAAGATAATAGGCCATTAAAGGAAGACAATAACAACATAGATATGAAACTAAAATGCACGACAGCTATAGCAGAAAGACCTGGAGGAATGAAATGACGGCACAGTACTAGAAGGTTCTCATCCTACGCAGGAAGTGGTAGGACATCATTTGAAGGTGCCTTGTGATAATTTAAGGATGTAGTCTATAGTCCCTAAAGCAACCACTAAAATAAATATAAAAAGTTACAACTAAAATAAAATGGAGCAATAAAAAATACTCAGTCCAAAGGAAGGTAAAAGGAGGAAAATAGGAAGAAACAATATTTGGGAGAAAACAGAAACAAATAATCTTTGGGAGAAATAAAATAAGATATACTTAAGTCCAACCATATTAATAATTGTGTTAAGTATACACAGTCTCTAAACACTTTAATTACAAGACAGAGACAGTCATATTCGATAAAATCAAGACCCAGACTCCTATAAGAAACCCACTTTAATAGATTAAGAGCAAAAGACTAGAAAAAAAGACATCCTACACTAATAGGATTGAAAAGAAAGGTGGTGAGGTTATATTAATAACAAATGAAGTGAATTTTAGAGCCAGTAATATTACTAGAGACAAAGAAGACAATTTAAAAATGATAAAAGATTCAGTTCATCAAGAGCATGACTACAGCAATCCTAAATGTTTTTGCACACAGTAACAGAACTTTAAAATATATGAAGCAAAAAATTCAGAGAGATTGTCAAAAAATAGAAAGCTTAACAACTATATCTGGACATCTAAAAAAACAAAACCCTGTCTCAATAATTGCTAGAACAATGAGATAGGAAAACCAGTAAGTATATGAAATACTTGAACAACACAAGAACCAACTTGACTTGACTCAGTTGACATTTATAGGACACCCTAACCATCAAAAGCATTATTTTCAAGTAGACAGACCATTTAACAAGACAGATCATATTCTGGATCAAAAACAAGACTCAAGAAATAGAAAGAATTGAAGTGATTAAAAAGTATGCCCCCTGATCACAAGAGAATTAAATGAAAACCAGCAACAAGAATATCTGGAAAATTCCCAAATACTTGGAAATTAAATAACACATTTTAAAGCAACACGTGGGTCAAAGAAGAGATCAAAAGGAAAAATAGAAAGTATTTTTGAGTTGAATGAAAACAAAAGCACAGCACATCAAAATATTCGGGCTGTGCTAACATAACACTGAAGAGGAATTTTATAGCAATAAACATCCATATCAGAAAAGAAGGAAGATTTCAAATCAGTGACCTCAGTTTCTACTGTAAGAAAGTAAAGCAAGAGAAAACTACATCTAAAGTAAGCATAAGAAAGAAAATAAGGACGATCAGAGCGGAAATCAATGAGACAGAAAATAGAAAGACAATAGAGAAAAGTCAATGACACCAAAAGCTAGTTCTTCGAGAAGATCAATAAAATCGATAAACCTCTAGCCAGATTAGCCATGAAAAAAAAAAGATACAAGACACACACGGAAGAGGTGACATTGCTACGGCTTATACAAATATTAAAAAGATAACAAGGAAATATTATGAATCACTTTATACCAACACATTTGACAATTTAAATTAAACAGGCAATTTTGTGAAAGACTCAAACTACCAAAGTTTATGCAAGAAGAAACAGGTAACTTTAATAGTCTTATATTTTATTTTTGAAATTGAATTTGTAGTTAAAAGCTTTCCATAAAGAAAATTCCAGACCCAGACGGTTTCATTGTTGAATTCTTTCAAACAGTTAAGTTAGAAATAACACCAGTTCTATACAATCTCTCCATAAAAGTGAAGAGCGAATACTCCCCGACTCATTCTCTAAGACCAGAATTACTCTCATACCAAAATCAGACAATTGTAAACAGTCTATGATGCCCATTACCAACGGGTATTATTGAAGTAAGGTAGGTTACAGCTTTGTACCTACTTCAGAGTTATAGGTTCAAACCTCTAGAAATGTATATTTTCGGTTCACTGTCTGCTTTTTTTTAAGATTTTTTTTTTTATTTATGTATGCATACAAGACCTGGGGTGTAGGACAGAGGTGCAAGGGATGAGAGGCTTCACCAGAGACAGAGAGGGGAGCAGAACTGGAGCATCCACTGAAATATACTGCTAAGGGGAGCAAAGGGGGAGGCAGGAGAGATCTGCTGTACCCTGTGGATCAGCTCCCTGGCCGGGGATCAAACTTAGGCTGCAGTGGATGCTGAGAGCTTAATAACGCTGAGACTTTAACTCTGGCACCACCAGGGAGGCCCACTGTTCACTCTCTTAATTGTAGTGAAAACTCCATGGTATGTGTCAAGACTAATCAAGTTGTAAATATAAGTATGTGCAGTGAGTTATATGTCAATTACACCTCAATAAAGCTGTTTTAAAAAACCAAGCAGGACATCTGAAAGTCAATTAGAAAAGATCTTTGGATTATCTACTTTGTTGAATTAAATGGGCTAATTGATCTTTCATTAGAGCAGAAAACTGAAAGTCCAATTGTTCATTCATTCATTCATTTTTACAATATTTACAGACTGCTTTGTGGTTCAAGGTTCTGTCTAAATTTCTGACTATAAAAGGACACAAGCCCAAACTTTCACTCATAAGTAGAAAGGAACAGCTCATCAAAGCACCATATTCCTGGTCAGAAATACTAAAAAGTCAGATAACATTCAGAAATAATCTACCTGATGGTAGAGTGTTCCCAAAGCAACGAGAAGCAGAGGCTCGAGACTCCAGACAAGGAAGATCCTAGAAAAGCTGAGCTGTCCTTTCACAGCCAGTTTTACTCCGGAGGTATTTGCTGATTCGGAATACAGGCAGAAAGCTAAAACCCCAGCTGGGAGTCAGAGGGGCTAGTGGAACCGCAGGCAGGGACTGGGGAGACAGGCAGGCAACGAGGGGGAAAAGACTAAGGGGAAAAAGCAGAGTGGTGTGTGTGTGTGTGTGTGTGTGTGTGTGTGTGTGTGTGTTAGAAGTCTTTCGAGATGATTTAGAAGAAGTCTTTCGAGATGAGGGTTAGACTTTGAAACCTGTCAGGCAAAGGAGCTCTGCAGAGTACATCAGATTCTCAGCTGAAACTCCTGGAGGACCAAGGCAAACTAGAGGTAGACAGATTTTCAGGGCTGCAAACCAGCCTTGATTCATTGTAATTCCTGACTGTTTCAGGTCAGTAGCTACAACTCTATCTGTTTAGTGGAGGGAAAAGCTAACCTTTCTCTTAAGGAAATAACATCATCTGGACCTCTCTGCATTTTTATACATAATGTTCATAACGCAATAAAAATTGCCAAGTATGCTTACACGCAGGACCATAGACCAAACACCAAGTAAAAGAAAAGAAGACAGTAACTAACCCAGAGGTTACCCACATATTGAAAGTTAGTCAATGTGAACTTTAAAATCGCTATAATTAATATATTTAGGATTGCAGTGGCAACAAAGAAAAAAATAAAATGAAGAATTTCATCAGGGAGTTAGATCTATAACAAAGAATCATCTCGAAATTCTCAACAGAAAAAACATGATATTATCATTAAAGTCTATAAACATTAAATGCATTCAGAACTGCAGGCAGGGTATAGCAGACATGAACTGTAATGTCTAAATTGAAACAGAAAAAAGTCACAAAGAAAAACCTAGCTAAAGAGCATTGTGAACACAAGGGACTCAGTGAAAAGATCTAACATTTGTATAATTAGAATCCTAAAAGGAAAGGGGACAGAGAAGGAGGTAGAAGCAATATTTGAAGAGATAATAGGAAATTCCTAAAACTGATGAAGGCTATCAACCCACAATTCAGAAAGCTGTGTGCCTTCCTATTAGAACAAATACAAAGAAACCCACACTGACTAACACCACAGTAAGACTCGTGCAACCAAAGACAAGGAGAGATCGTAAAAGCAGCCAGAGGGAAAAATGACAGTTGTTCAAAGGGGCCAAAAGAAAAAAAAAAAAGATTCACAACTGACCTTAACTGACCTTCCCACAGAAAGGGCATTTAGAGCAGAATGGATTGACACCTTTAAAGTATTGATGATATCTTTAAAGTATTGAAAGAAAACAAGTGCCAACTTGTAATTCTTTGTCAGCAAAAATAAACTTCAAATGTGAAAGTAAAATAAAGCTGCTTTCCAGACAAACAACAGAGAATTTATCACCAGTGAAACCACATTAAGGAAATACTAAAGAAAATTCGTCAGACACAAGGAAAATGATCCCAGAGGGAAAGATGAAAATTGCAGGAAGTAATGAAGAACAACAGAAAAGGTAAATATAACTGAATACTGATTTAGTAAAATAATAACAGAGTGCCTTATGGGGGTTAAAATGTATAGAGAGTAAAATGCATGCAACCAAAATGTGTAAATGTGCTCTAAGATTCTAGTATTATCAGGGAGGTTGTAAAAGTGATGATTTGTATTACTCTGTAATAAGGCCAGAGGCACGTGGCCATCTCTTGGGTAACCAGTACTGGAATAATAAAAAAAAAAATTGTATTAACCAAAAGAGGTACGCAAGTCAAGTCAGCAGGGCCCCTGGTTGTTACCACTCCAAGGAGGCTCTGGGGAAGAAAAGCATTTTTGCCCAGGGCAGGGCCATTGCTTCAGCAGCTGAACACATTAGGCAGAGTAACTGTGGGTATCTGAAAACCTAAAGACTCTTGAACAGTCAAACCCTCCCAGCTTCCCGACCCAGCCGAGCACCTTTCCCGAAAGCACCTCCATCCACCCACCCACCGACCCGACCCATCCATGCATCCATCCCTCTACTCCCAGACAATTCCTACTAGGGGATTCCTGGCACTGAGTTAGGAGCTGAAACTACAGGGGCAAACTGCAAATGAGCTCAGTTCTCAACACACTCACACTCGAGACACAATTAAATCAGATCTTTCTCAGACTTTAACGTGCAAACAAATCACCTGGAAATTCTATAGGTCTTGAAAAGTGCTCGAGATTCTGCATTTCTAACAAGCCTCCAGGTGTTGCTGCTGCTGCTGATTCAAGCACTGGACTGCACTTTGAGGGGCAGGAACTAAGCAACTAAAACGCAGCATGGCCAGTGCACTGATGAAGCTGTAGCTCAGAGAACTGAAGCAGCTTGCCGGAACAGTAAAGTGGGGCAGCTGATCCCAGCTAACCCCAAAGACCATGTATGAGGTTTCCCGCTTAAGGAGAAGCGACTGTGGGAGCGGGTAGCTTGCGCTTGTGGGGAAGGCTGTCCAAGTTGAATCTTAGCGATAAACAAGGGTTTCCCTGGCAGAAGCTTCTAGCATAGCAACAGCAATAAAAGCAAGGATAAATAAAAGGGCAAGGATTCTGGATTAGCTCGTCTGAATTTTAAGCTTTAAACTTCTGTGAGCTTTAAATTTGGAACAACTGCACTGTGCCTTAGTTTCCTCAACTGCAAAACACATGTTCAAATACCAGCATGTTCCTCTTCAGGTTGGTGTGAGAAGTAAATGAGATGTGTGTATAAAAGACTTAGAACAGTAAGTGAGACAGGGCAAATGCTTGCTATATGTTAGCTCTGATGTTACAGCAGTGAATGAGTAATAAAGGAGCAGTGGGAGGAATGAGGGTGCTTCAGGAACAGGGTGATCCTCCAAAATGATGCCCCCGTGCCCGGGTGTAGGGACTGAGAGGCACCAAGTTCCTGGCCAGTGGGACTGACAAATAAACTCTCAACCACACCACCATCCCTGGTGGGGAGGAGCCCAGCTGTATTCTCAGACACGTGCCGAGCTCTGGAGGACAGCCAAGGCGCCTTCAAGTCCCTTAGCGCCTCTCCTCCTCATGACTCCAGAAGAGTGGCAGGACTCGCCATCCCCACTTTACAAGCAGGGAAACTGAGGCCCAGGATGTAAATGAGTTCTCCACTATTTCCCTAGGTAGTAGGGACAGAGAGGAACTCCTTATCTCCTGGTCAGTCAGCAGTCTTTCTAGAAAGCCTTCTAGTATCAGTTCAGGAGAAAATCAATACCTGCAACAGTTCTGCGAGATTTCCTACCTCTTCCAAAACTGTCATGTTCACTAACCACTAGCACCTGATTAAAGCACCTGTCAGAGTAACAAAAGATATATGTGGCCCTGCTGCTGGTTTGGGAAGAAAGGCTTCCTAGGGAAGAGCTGGGCTTTATAAGTCCCTGGAAACCCATTTCCAACCCTCTTGCAGCCCTTTCACGGTACACACAGGACAGGACAGGCCCACTGCACTGCCTACCTAGTAGACTGCTTGGCCAGCATGGCCACATACGTGACCACGAAGCTCTGAAACTTGGCCCGCTGCTCTTCCCAGCGGTCATCCACTGAGTAGTAGTTGGGCAAGGGTGCACCAAACAGGATCTCGCTGCGCAGGAGGGAGCTCTTGAGGTTTTCTGCAGAGAGGCCCTCGTCGACATACCAGTAGAACTCAGGGTGAGTCATGGCCAGCTCCAGGGAGCCTGCAGGGGCAGGGCAGGGACCCATGGGCTCAGGTGGTCAGCTCCCACCAGCCCTTCCTGTGGGTTACCCAGTGCTCCTCACCACCTCACACTTTCCTAACTGCCCTTTGGGCTGCCTCCCACTGTCCCCAGTGGACCAGAGAACTCACAACTGCCCAAGGGGGCGGCCCCTGGGACCCCCTCAGGCAGCTCCCAGTATGTTTATGTATCTGTAACCACACCTAATTAAGTTCAAGGCTCAATTTCAAATGAAATACCATGCAGGGCTTTTTGGCCATTATTTTACTGTGATGTTTTATTTGTAGGTTGTACATAAGCTGTGTACTAAAATAGAATCAAAAAATAATAATTATTCCAAGACCCCAGACGGAGTCTCATACCTTCCCCTGCCTAGAGCTCTGCCAACCCCCCTCAAAGGCATATCCAAGCCACACTGCCACGCCCGACCCCGTCTACCCTCCATCAAGTCCTAGCCATGCACTACCTCTAACTAAATCCACCACTGGTAGTCCCTCCCACCATAGCCGCTGCCTGTCTACACCGCACAGGTGCCCAGTTCTCTAGACTCACATCGGGCTGCCCTCTAACCAATCTCAAACTCTGGCCACGCAAAACGGTCCAACTCCCTCAATGCAGGTCTGCGCCCAAAGCTCCTTCCTTGCTTCCTCATGATCCCATCACTCACCCAATCCTGCCCCCATACCCCTTCCTTACAAGGGCCTTATAAGAGCCACGCACAGCCCGACAGCCTCAAGAGCAAATCCTTCTCAGGGGTGAGTCCCTAATCTTCAACCAAACCATTACAAGCCCCACCCACCACAGGCTCCACCCACACAAACCCCGCCCGCCCTTAGGTCCCACCCCTCTCAAGCCCCGCCCATCAAGACTCCATCCACACAAGCCCCGCCCACCATTGGGTTCCACCCCTCTCTAGTCCCACCCACCACAGGCTCCACCCACACGAGCCCCGCCCACCCTTGGGTTCCACCCCTCTCAAGCCCCACCCACCACAGGCTCCACCCACACGAGCCCCGCCCACCCTTGGGTTCCACCCCTCTCAAGCCCCACCCACCACAGGCTCACCCACACAAGCCCCGCCCCCGCTTCAACAGCCCTCACCCTCAGTCACACCCTGCGCCGCTCACCCCGGATGTCCGCCAGGTCCTGGCCCATGCCATCATAGTAGATCTTGCCACCCCGCTCCGTAGGAAAGAAGTAGGTCATGAGGGAGCTGGGAGGGGAGCAGTAGGAGTAGGAGCCCAGCGGCAGGTCCTTGAGCACCTCGTGGGGCTTCCAGCAGAACTCTCGGAAGCCCGGGTGGTCCATGATCTTGCGCTCTATCTCGTGGATCGTGACCAGCCGCTCACTAGTGAAAATGTTGCGCTCCGCGTCACCGCGGGCCAGGAAGATGAGTTCGATGCGCCAGTGTGCGTGAGTCTGGGTGTTGGTGCTCACATAGGAGCGAGAATAGTCCCATCGCGAGGCGCCTCGGCGGGCCCGGCTCTGATTGGCCAAGGCTGCGGCGGGAGGCGGGGCGCTGGGTTGGTGCCGCCCATTCTTGTCTGGGCCCCGCCTCATCAGACCTTCACTCTGGTTGGCTGCCAGATCTTCCAGGGGCGGGGTCTCGCGACGAAGACGCCTGCTCCGATTGGTTGCTGGCTTCTGGCCCGCGGAGGTGTCCCAGGACAGACCTGACCCACGCCGCGGGCCGTCCAGGACGGCGTGCGGGGTCTTGGCTGCAGGCCGGGAACGGTTGCCCAGGTGCAACTGCTGCAGCTGCTCTGAGATGAGGCGCTGAAGCGTCTCGGAGGTGAAGTCGGCCAAGTCACGCCGGTTTCGCCCCCAGGACCCGAACTGGGACTTGAGTGCCAGCGCCAGGGCGTCGAAACGCTGGGACGCCTCGTGGTTGCGGATCTCAAAGGCGTTATAGGAGATGTCGATGTCCAGGGGCGGGTAGTAGAGGAACATGAAGGCCGACAGGGCCATGGGGATGCTGCAGCCCAGGAAGAGCACCAGCCCCGCACAGCACGGGTTGGTGAAGGCCCAGCCCAGCGTGCTCCAGAAGCCCGAGGCTGGGGGCCGGGAGGGCAGGGCCCAGTGCCGCCAGCAGCACTGCCCTCCGGCCCCGGCGCGGGGCCCCGGCTTCTGCGCTCTCCTGCAGGCCTCACCTGTTGCTTCCTCCTCCTCTTCCTGCTCCTCCTCTAGCCACACATCCTGCAGCAGGGGATCATCCTCCGAGTCCATAGCCTACAGCAGAGGGAGAGAGTCGGCAAGCTCGCGCCAGGAAGAGGTCACCCAGCCCTGGGTACTAACCAAACAGGAACACTGCAGCGGCATTGCATCAGGCAGGCGTTTCACACAACTGAATTCAACCACAGGTGTTCAGAACAGAAAACTGCTGTTATTTGCTCTTCACGTCCCCCAGCTAAGTCACGGTTTTCAAGGCCACAGGAAAAAGAATCACAATACAGTTGCAAACAGAAGTGATGTTTCGCCCCATGTAAGGGATGTTTCGGGAATTGTGACTGCACACGATTTCCCAAGTATTGCTGATTTTAGACTCAAGGCTAAGGTGAGGTGTGCCCACGGTCACTGCTTTTATCAGACGAGCAACTATAAAGTACCTTCCGGAAGTGTCAGGGTACAGGGAAAAGAACCTGGTCTTCGGAATCAGCCCCTGTTTGGGGTCTTAGAGATGTGAGCATTGGCGAGACAGTGGATCACTCTCAACCTCAGAGTCTTTGTCTATAAAAAGGTGGCCATTCTCCCCTCAAAGACTGTGCAGCGCCCCAAGGTGGGAGTGCTCTGCAGATATGTAGCAAATTAGTTATCTGTCACGTCAACAGATTTCTTTGCTCCCTTCTGGGGACTGTGATGTGCTCAGCCATTGCCCAGGAGGCTGTGCCAGGGCAAGACGCCTGTCATAGCTGTCCTCAAGAAATCTCAGTAGTTCCCACCCTCTCTTTGGGATGCTGCAGCTGCAGCCACTGTTTGTCAAGCTCAGACCACTTAATATGCAGCTCCAGCAACATCAAACCTTTGGGTGCAGGCAGGGGCCAGGCATCTGTCTCCCCCAGACTTGGGCTAAGCAGCAGTAGGGTCTAGCAAGAGGGCAGGGCTGGGCAGTCTGGGACTCCAGTGGGGTGGCCTGAAAGCGTGAGGCCTCCCGGCATCCCCAGGCATGAGCTGCCCCTCGTCCCGCCTGCCCTCTGTTTGGACAGAGAGTGCCTCATTATCCAGTTAGACGCCAGGCGGTGAGAGGAGGAAGCTAATTATCCCAGAGCTGGCTAATTAATGCTGCCTTTCCTATTAACATTCTCTGGAGTGCTCCATTTCAATTAGACAGTCTGTCCGGGAGGAGGAGCTGCCCTCACTCAGCCCAGGGAAAGTGAGGAAGAGAGGGCGAGGGGAAGAAGGGAAAGAGACAGAAACCAGGGAGAGACCAGAGACGGATAAAAGCAGGAGACAGACAGGCGCAATGGATGGATGGAGGGGGGAGGAGACACAGATACAAAAAGGGAAACAAAGGAAACAAGGAAAAATGAGCTAAGCAGGCTGAGGGTAGGTGGGAAAAGAGCAGCGGACTTGAAAGGGAAGACGTTTGGAAAGGCTGGAACCGGCCTGTATGACGCAAGACGCGCATCATGAAATAATGAAACTTCTCACCCGTGATTCCCTAAAGCAAGCTGCCCAGCGTTAACTCGGTGTTAACTGTCTGAGGCCAGTTCCTGGCAGTGGGCCCTCCTGGGAGGGACCAGAGAAGGCTCAGACTCGTCTCCAAGGGCGAAACCAAATCTGCCTGGAGTGAGGGAGTCTCCATGTCCAGCAGCAAGAGGAGGGAGCTGATGTGACACGGTGCAGAGGGCCAGGGGCACTGGCGCCCACTTTCCAGGGACTCAGTTCACCCACCCCACCCCCAGCTCCCGTTTGTCTGGCCAGGAGGACACTTGACAATGTGTTGGTGTGTGGGCCGGGGAGGGGATCCGAACCAGGAATCTAGGCCACAGCAGCACCCTCTGGGTGACTTAGGGCCCCCTCTGCTCCATGGCCACTCCACCGAGATGCCACTTCCTGCCCTGGGTGTCCAAAGCTAAATAATCTTTCAAGAACTTGCTCTGAGTCACCTCTGCCAAGAGGTTTCCCAGGTCTGACGCGCCCCAGCTTGTAGGCTTCTCACCACCCCTAGCCTGGGGGTAAACATTACCTCTGGACAGCAAGGGACAGGCAGTGTGGATGAATGTTAAGAGCTATGACTTTGGAAGCGCAGACATGAGTGCAAGCACCAGCTGGGGTGACTTCCGGCAGCAGAGTAAACTTCTTGAGGCTCTGCCTTTCCATCTGCAAAATGGGGCTAACAGTTCTCACCCCAGAGGTTGTTGAAGGATGACGGACCCGGGAACACTGAGTCATGTATAAATTCTCTGCTTCTCCCCTGTACGTGGCCACAGCAGTCTCCGCCCTCTCATGCTTTCCTCAGCATGTGACTCTACTGCTCCCTTTAAGAAGGTGGGTGAGCCTTCCTTCCCCTGGGATCTTGGGGGTCTGCGGCCACAGCACCAGTGGTTAAAGACACAACAGTATCAAGTAATCTCCAGCCACTACAGCAGGAGTTTGATCCCCGGCCAGGGAGTGACCCACAGGTGCACAGACCTCTCCTGTCTCCCCGCTGCTCCCCTCAGCAGTGGGTTTCAGTAAATCCACCTGTTTTGCTCCCCAATCTGTCTCTAGTGAATCTTCTCATTGCATGCCCCCCACCCCTGCACCTCTGGCCTGTACCCCAGTTCTTATATGCATAAATAAATAAATCTTTAAAAAAAAAAAAAAAGCAAAGGCTCAGTGATAAAGGGAGAAGCAGCTCCCAACTGGCCATGTTGGGCACAGGCCTTGGCGCCTGGCACCATGCTGTGAGGGAACCAAGGCAGAGACCACAAGTTGGCATTCCTGCTGATAGCCGGCACAAACTCGAGAAGATTCCAAGCCCGCTCATCCATGAACCCCCCGGCCTTCAGGTCATCCCAACTGAGGCCCAGAGAGAGTGGAGCAGGGCCACAACTCCCTCTCCTGTGCCCTGCCCTTCCGCCCCACAGGGTCCGTGAGCATAACATACTGGTTGGCATACACAGGTAAGTTTTAGGGTGACTGGTGACATCACCATAGTGTATAAACACCCTATAGTAACTGGGGTGACTGGTGAGTCCTGTCCCATATGTGACTCCGAGCCCTGCAGACAGCTCTGTGGCATGTAAGTGACCAGAGTACTAGGCATGGCCATTCTGCCTCCCGGTGAGAACCCCAGGCCTGTGGACATGAGCTGTAAGGGAGCAGAGACATGGCTGTCGGTATCCCTGCTTGCTTGCTGGGGCTTAACTATCCCCGGAGGGGTCAGGGCTTAGCACATATTTTGAATAAAGGCAGGAAAAGGAATCTGAGGACTCTGGGCTAGATATTAAAGAGCACGCTCCTGTTGACAGGACAGCCAGACACCAGCACCACAGGAGAATGTCAGGGCACGCGGCTTCTTTGCTGGGGAAGGAGCTTGAAGGGTACGGACCAGCGGGAAGGAGACTTGATGAGTTCTTGGTTCTACCCTCGCCCCTCCCCCAAGAAAAGCTGCCACGTGACACATCTCAGCAGACGGCGGTCAGTTGAGCAGCAGACTGGTTCAGCCCCCAGCTTTCTACGTGGCCCTTGGCGTGTCCTGTCCCCTCCTGGGTCCCTGTCTCCCCTGTTGGGCAGTGAGAGTGTGAAGGTCCATGCATACCAGGTGTGACACCCTGGGGGTCTCCAAGACCCCAGAGATCCAGGCATGCCCGCTTCGCAGTCTGCAGGCCGAGGAGGTGGGTGTGAGACACACCCCCCACCCCAAGAGAGGCACCACCGGGTGGGGTCTCAGGCCTGCCGCAGCCCGCCAGCTCCTCAGGCCTTTCTACAGGACGGGCAGTGGGTGGCCAATGTTTTCCTTTCTCAAAGCATAGGCTAGATTGTCTTGCAGAGGAGTAACAGCCACTCTGTGGGGAGTTGCTAAGGGGGCGTGAGGGCCCCTATCATTGGCTCACACAGAGCCCCAAGTGGCCTGTGGTTGTAGGGAACTGTGGCCTCACCTTTGTTTATTTTTATAATAGTCCTTTTTAAAAAGATTTATATTCTGTATTTATGCACACAAGGTTGGTCATTGTGGGGGCGGTGAGAGGACTCCCCAGAACACAGTGGGGAGCAGAACAGGAGATCTACTGAAGTACACTGCTGAGGGGAGCAGCGGGGAGACAGGAGAGGGCTGCTGTGCCCTATGGGCCACTCCCTGGCTGGGGATTGAACTCGTGCTGCGGGGGCTGCAGACAGCCTCACAGTGCTGAGACTCAGCCCTGCACCACCAGGGAGACCCTGACTGTGCCTTTATCATCTCTCCTATCGTGGTGGCCCTTCGAGGGTCTCCAGATCAGGAAGCAACAAGGGCTCTCCCTGTCTCTGTCCCTGTCCCACACATACACACCCTCACAGGGAGTCGGGATTAGACTCGGCCACCCCGGGACACATCCATCGCCACGGTCCCCTCCTCCTGGGCACGGCAGATGGGGCACCCCCTAAAAGGGAACAGCAGACCCCAGGGCGTCTTGGAAGGAGAAACCTGGCCCAGCTCCAAGGGTCAGGCTTGGGGAAAACCAAAACTACACTTGCAGCATGATTCCAATGTTATAACACCCCCAACACACACACATTCACACACATGCATCTCAAAGACCCATGAACTGTAATTATTGGGGAGGATTGTGGGTGATGTTTATTTTCTCCCTTTGTATTTGTCTGTTTCCAACTTTTCTGCAGTGATCAGGTACAGCCTTTTAGAATGAGAAATGTTATTTTAGAATAGAATGTGCGTGTGTGCGTGTGTGTGTGTGTGTGTGTGTGTGTGTGTGTGTGTGATTTTGCTAACAGCCTTGAAGCCTTTGAGGAGTTACTATAACAGGCACGGGAGGAGGGTCCATCCGTGCTCCAAGGCGCACACAGAACAAGCCCAGTTGGCTCACGTGTGAGCGGGAAGCTCCTCCTTGGAAGGGGAGCGGGGGGGCTGGCAAACTGGGGTGGTGGGGGGTGGAATGACTGTGGCACCTCCTACTCCCTTGAGCTGCAGAGAGAGAGGGAGCTTTAAGGCGAGCAGGAAGTAGACAGTGGCCCAGGGGACCCAGGGGGAGCATCAGCACCCCTAGCCCAAAGCCTTCAATTCACAGGCAGGAAACTGACCTCCCCCC